GGCCGGGGCGGTGCAGGGGGTGACGCCGGCGGGTCGGGGGCAGCGCAGGAAGTGGGGGAAGGATGCAGGGTCCTGGCGCTGGCGGCTCTGACCCCCGTCTCCCTTCAGCGAAACGCAAGGCCGAGGCCTCCCTCTCTGACGGGCAGGGTGGATTGAGGCAGAACAAGTTGTCGCGCCAAGACCTCCGTGATGCACCGAAGAGGAACCGGCGCCTCCAGCAAGAGCAGTTCAGGCGGAGAAAAGGTGAGAGCAGGGCCGGGGTGCAGCTGGCCCAGGGACACGGCCTCCCCCCCCCATCTCTCTCCAGTGACGTTGAATCTGGCCTTTCTGTACCGGGGCTCTGCCGACGGGGCGGGGGGGGCGGAGCAGCGCGGGGGGCCGGACCCCGACGTCCAGTTCATCTTCACGCTGCCGGACGAGGCCACCCTGAAGGCTGCCGCCTCCATCCTGAAGTCCCTGAGCAACGAGCACACCCTGGAGGAGCTGTGGGAGCGGCTCGGCCAGAGCGGGGGTGAGAGCAGGCCCGGGGTGAGGGGAGGTTGGGCCAACCTGGGACGTGTCCCCTGGGCCCCCCGCCTGGATCCAGGCCTGTGGGGACACCCCAGAGTCTTCTGTGCCATGGGGCCCTTCTGCCCTTTCTGAAGACGGTGCCACGTTTGCCTGTTTCCAGTCAGCCGGGGTCTCTCCCGATCGCCGCGACTTTTCAAGGCTAAAGGCCAAAGGCTCCTCCATGACACTGGCCAGTCCCCAGCCCCCTCGGGTGCATTAAATCCGGGCCCATGGATCTGTGTGTGTTTAGCTTTTCTAAACAGTCCCCACCCTGTTCTTCCCCCCAAGGGCTGCCCCCTCCCTCCCCTACTGCCTTGCCTAGCGCATTAGTCTGGGGGTGACCTTGTCCGTGAAGACAGAGGCAGAGAAGCATCGAGTGCTTCAGCTTCCCCCCATCACCTGTCACTAGGTCACCTCCCTCCTCCACCAGAGGCAGAGAAGCACAGAGTGCTTCAGCTCCCCCCCATCACCTGTCACTAGGTCACCTCCCTCCTC